AGCTCAATACTAATAATCAAGCTCAAACAAACCACATAGGAATATTTGAGCAAGAAGCAGCTCAGATAACCATGGCAGAATTCCTCCCCAAAAGAATAACAAAAGTGATTTGTGCAAAGACATGATGGCTTTCTCCTCCAAACTCACTCCTTCTAGCTTGTCAAAAATCAAGATAAGGCATGGTTCTGTAATAACAAAATCCAGTTTCTTGAATGAGATCAATTACATACTTCACATATATAATTCAGAATTCTCCATTCAAAAGCAAAGAATAATTTGCACACCTTATGTCACTTTAAAGATTTGTTTTATGTGAATGATTTGACTAAAGGAAATGTCAATTCAAAGTCAAAGATATTTAGTCAAATCCTTCAGATAAAAATATACATTTTGGGCCATGGACTGCACTATGAAATTCCTTTAACTAGCAACCCACCATAGCACCTGTGCTTCATGCATTCCACTTGGACTGTTTGTCAGATGTAAATCCCTACGCCCCTTCAGGTTGAGGTGAATTTGTGATTGTGTCACACACATTTCTCTTCTACACATTTCTTCTTCGCATCAAGTATTCTGACCTGCATTCAGAAAACTGAGTCAAGATGATCAAACTTTCAGTGAAAGCAACTCTCAGTGGGCTTTTCTGACAGCTTTATGCAGCTGCAGTTGTCAGCAGGACTGCAGGAGACAATCTGTAGCAAGGCCTCAGTACTTGGACTTCTATAAAGTAAGGAAATATTGCAAAGTTTCAATCACTTGTGAGAGAGAAAACAGACATTCATACCACACTCACACCTACACCCCCCGACCTTTCTAAGGAGATATTTATCTCCCTGTGAAAGCACATGTAAACCACTTCATGTCCCTCTCTGTTTCTATTCAGAAAAGGTATGAGTTGTTACAGTCCCCTGCAGAATAGCCTTGACCATTCATGCTTTTAGCTCTATAGATCCCTAGTTTGTCAACCAAGATTACAGCTGTCACACGCATGCAGGTTGAAAGTACATGGATCTTACTTTCTGCTTGAAAGAGAGACAGCTCTATCACATTTAGTCAGTCTCACCAGAAATAAGTGATACTCTACATGTGCAGCATCTGTGAGAACCATGTGGGGAGCAGGGAAGAGAAAGAATAGGACATTTTGGAAGAAATCATGAAAGTGAACTAATCTGAATACAGAAATCTCGTAGGCCAAAAGTAGAGAATACATGAAGAACTGCTCTGTTGTGCAGCATTCAGGATCATGTTATTCCTGCAGTTGGAGCTCAACATGAAAATAGGTTTTTGTATAGGCATTAAAGTCAGTGAAACAATATTCAGTGAAAGAACTTAAAAAATAAGATAGTCTTGCAGCACCTTAAAGACTAACAAAAAATGTAGATGGTATAATGAGCTTTCATGGGTACAGCCCGAAGCAGAGACATTCCTGTCAGAGAAGCAGGGTACTAAGGACCCATACAACAACTTACTGTAACTTTCCATGCCCTTCCTATATTAAGCGAAGGTCAGTTTAAACACAGACACAGGCAGGGAAAGTAGAGCCAATTTTTTAGAATCCAGCAAAAGAATACAGCAAGAGACATATGCAAATTTCCATGACTAAGTGAGAGGCTGGGGCAAAAATCTAAATGAGAGACTCCCTAGTGAAGAGCAAATCTGAGAGGACAGACTCAAGGATTCTTGAACAGGATTGGGAGGAGACTTGCTGTCCACATTGGCATACAAGCAGTGATTTTACATAGTTCCTCTCCTCCTCATACTCCATGTAGTAAGCACTTTCTACTACCACAGTAGCAGGCTAAGAGGCTGCTAAAGGGAAGCTCTCCAGATCTGGGGCTACTCTCTTCCAGCCCCCCACCCCCTCCCAGGGTTGCCAGGTGTCTGGTTTTCTACCAGACAGTCCGGTATTTGCACCATCTGTCCGGTAGAAAAATTCAGAAAATAGCGAACATGTGCAATGTCCGGTATTTTGTGAATTTCCGGTGGGGTGCCGGAGGGAAGCCTGGCAGGTGCAGGGGAGTGACTGGGAGGCAAAGCGCGATTGGCTTTGGGAGCCCTGTGGTTGCGCACAAAAGCCGGATGGGGTGGGATGGGGACCGGGGCTTCCAGACACACGCACACCCCCCGGCCCGGCTTTTGCATGGGACCAGAGCCTCCCAGCTGGGAGCCTCTGGTTGCGAGCAGATGCCAGGTGGGGGGAGTGGCTCCCAGTCCCGCTCCCGCCCCCTCCCGGCTTCTGCTGGCAAGTAAAGGGAGTGCCTGCCGGGGGCGCGGCTGGAAGGACCCCGCTATCCCATGCGTTGCTCCCATCTCTGGAGCTCTTTCGTG